AAAGAAGATGTGGTATATATATATATACACACACACATATATATACAAGGGAATACTACTCAGCCATAAAAAACTTACCATTTGTGACAACATGGATGGACCTAGAGGATATTATGCTAAGTGAAATAAGTCAGACAGAGAAAGAAAAATACTGTATGATTTCACTTACATGTGAAGTCTAAAAAACAAAACAAGTGAATAAACAAACATACCTAAACAGAAACAGACTCATCGACCCAGAGAACAAACAGGTGGTTTCCAGGGAGGAGGGTGGTGGAGGGAGGAGAGACATAGGTGGGAGATTAAGAGATACAAACTATCAGCTACAAAATGAATGAGTCACAGGTATGGGGAATGCACAGTGTGGGGAATGTAGTGAATAACCATGTAATGTCTGTGTACGGTGACAGATGGTAACTAGACTTACAGTGGTGATCCTTTTGAAATGTACAGATATAGCGAATCACTATGCTGTGTACTGGAACTAACACAGAGTTGTAGGTCAATTATACTCCTAAAACAAACGAACAAACTCACAGAAAAAAAATCAGATTTGTGGTTACAAGAGGTGGGGGGCTTGGACGAAGGTGGTCAAAAGGTACAAACACCTAGCTACAAGATAAACAAGTACTAGGAATGTAACCTACAATGTGATAAATATAATTAAAACTGCTGTACCAATAGTTATTATTTAAAGTTATTAAGAAAGTAAATCCTAAGAGTTCTCATCACAAGGAAAAAGTTTTTTTCTCTTTATTTAATGTATATCCATATGAGATGATGCATGTTCACTAAATTTATTGTGGTAATTATTTCATGATGTAAGTCAGTCATATCATTTGGCGCTATACCTTAAACTTACACAGAGCTGTATGTCAATTATGACTCAATAAAGCTTGCAGAAAAAGGAATCCTGTAGATCTATTGAGGCGATTACTGAAAGAATGAATATATGATTAGGAAATATAAAAAAAAAGCAAGACAGATACTGCGCAGCATGTGAAGAGATGTGCTAATGTCAACATTACACCAGGCATGGTAACGATAAACTGATCTGCAGTATTGAGCACCAAAAATTGTCTTTAAAAAATGAGTTGGTAAATGGACTATCATATTACTATGATAAACCTAAGCCATATTTTAAAGAACACTACAGAATAAGCACTACATGACATACTAAGAGCCATAATAATAGATGAACAAATTTTGCCAACAAATTACTCATTCTACTATCTGATAAAACTAAAAAGGCAGTGAGGGAAAATGCCTTGCTGTTAAAAACATCAGAGAAATTTATCTAGGGGTGGAGGGTGCAATGTATATCTCTAGCAAAGGAGCCGAAAGCAAATGTGGAAACTCAAAACCATCAAAGTAAAGCTGCTTATCCTCCCGGCAACTGGCATGACTTCATGTACATGAAATCTTACTTGGACATCTTCTCACATGAAAGTGCTTTGATGTCAGTTTAGAACCAAGGATTTCTACATGCTTGCTAAATAACCAGAGGTTTGTGTCTCCGTAAACTGTTATCATGTTCTTCTGTTAAAATAAGATCAGATTGGGTTTTACGAATGATCACACCTAGTGTTTGTAAAATGTATTCACTGTGTGAAGAACCTTTACATATAAATATATATATATTTCCTCATTTTCCTCATTAAAATTTATGCTTGGATTAAGGATTTTAGAAATGTTCAAACCTATAAGATTCTATTATTTAAAAATAGTTCAGGAGTTGTATGGCAATTTAGTCATAGAGATACGTATCATTATAAACATTCCAATTAACTTGGGTACTTTTTCTCCATAATAATAAGAAATTATAGGATTTGTAGGCATCCACAGTTCAGGCAGCTGCCACCAAAAGTGAGTTGTATTATCAATGGACTTGATTCAAATAGCAGCTGAGATTCCATCTTTCTCTCTCTCAGACCACATCATATGGATAGAGTGCTAGAATTTTTCAGTTTTATACATGAAAGGGACATGAGATTTCCACGCACAATTATCTCATTTTGTAAGTGTGAAAATTGAGGAGTGGAGAAGCTAAATGATAAATACTTTCACATATATTCAGATACAAAAAATACTTAAGATATAAAATAGTTCCAGAGTGGGAAATCCAAAACTAGCTCAATTATGTTACAACCTTCAGCTGACTCTATACCTCTCTCCTTGTTGCTTTAATCTAAAAGATAAATGTTATGATTATCTGTAAACTTCTAGTTGCCTGGATGAGCACAGGAAACCTTGAACAGAAGAAAGCCTGATGGTTGGCCTGGCTACCACATATTCAGTGGGTCCAGGGAGGGGATGGACTATCTAAAAAATTCCACTAAGTTGTTAGAGCTTTCAAGTCTCCCTGGCATTCAGGGTAAATCAGGGCTGCTGATAAAAGCAAACGTTTATATAGAGTTTACTGTGTACAGAGCTGGGATTAGCAACTGTTAGTCCAGTTCTAGTCAATCCATTGAGCTACCTCAGAAAAACAGCATGATTTCTAAGGGCTTTACATATATCGACTTGTTTAATCTGCATAACAATCCCATAAATAAATAAATAAATAATATTATTAGCCCCATTTCACAGACGTGAAAGCTGAGGCCCAGGTTAGGTAATTTGCCAAAGGTAACAGCTAGTAAATTTTGGAGTGAGAATTTGAATACAAGCAACCTGGCTATATATAATACCATCAAACATTGGTTAAGCAAACAGTTTTGTTTTGCTTATTGCCAAAATTTATTTATATTAAAAATTAAAAATGTATTTAACCTGAAAAATGTCAAGCAATAAATATCATGTAAAATATATTACATAAGTATATTACTGATATAAGATGTGTTTGTTTTGAGAATATACTAATGAAATGTATTATTTAAATGGCAATGGGTAGATAAACAAGTTTCTTCTGTATAACACAGGGAGCTATATTCAATATCTTGTAGTAACCTATAATGAAAAAGAATATGAAAATGAATATATGTATACATATGTATGACTGAAACATTACACTGCACAACATATATTGACATGTTGTAAATTGACTATACTTCAATAGAAAATAGATAAATAAAATAAATGGCAATGTGTTTGCCACAAGAAATCCCTGTAGGAATTGTCAGAGCTTTCTTTATATTACTGCAAAAACATGCTAGTTCAATCACTTTTCTACAAAGATATATATGACAGCAGATTGAAATTTCCCCCAAACATGTCTCCAAGATTATGTCTCAGGGAAATATTACTTTCACTAGTGAGAAATTTGATGTTACAGTTTTGTTTGTGCTATTGGCAGAAAGACTTTGGGTATTTATAAAATTTTCAGATATGCTACGATAGATTTTCTGTGGGTCAAACATGTTAATATAAAAATGTTAAAAATATATTTGACTTTCCTAGGGGCTCTGAGCGTAGCTAGAGTATTTATATTTTGTTTGGAAGTTTATAAAATCACTTAATATATGACTGGGAATGAAATCTTTACAACTGTGGAGTTTATTAACATGCTCCATTTTATAATAAATATAACACCATTAACTTACTTGGCTATCGGGCACGCACGTGGGGTTGCTTCCCTTGCATTCCTTTAATATTAAAGATGTAGATGTGTCAGGGCACCCGACAGAGTTAGTGATGCAGTATGATGTAGTGAACAAAGACTACAAAGGTTTTGAACCCTCTAGTATCTAGGACTACCAAACTCACGACCTTCTCCGCAACTAATCCAACCATATTATATTAAATATTCTCATAGGCTGTAAGTTTTTCCACTGAATCTTTATAAGCTCTCCAAGGATAAATATAAAAACTTATCCCAGGGGCATGTGTTAAAAACTTAAAAAGTCTTTAATAAGAACCAATGGGATGGGAACAATGGAAATGAAACAGAATTAATAAGAAAGTACAGAGAAAAAAGTAGAGTTAAAACCTAAAAAGAAGAAAATAAGTGTGTCAAGTAGAAAACTAGGAGAAAAGAGGAAAACTTGGAAATGATCAATTGAAAAGGAAATATCTGCAGAAAACGAAAGATGGAAAATATAAGGAAAAAACACAACAGGAAACTGAGGAAAAATGAACATTAAATAATGAGAATAATAGAAACCAAAACAGAATATTGAAGACCAGCAACTCAAAGAATGCATTTTTAATAACAAAATTGATTAAAAAACTGTAACAATGAATGCTCAAATAGCCTTACATATAAAATATTCTATTACGTAGTAAGCAGATATTTGTACTAAAGGGAAATCACAGTGCAGACCTTTAAGGCTTTGGAGAAAACCCATGTTTTCATCTTCATAGTGTTCTCCTTTTTCAGAAAGAGCTCCTCTCTTGCTATTTAGTCACAAATAGAGACTGAACGTCTAACCATGGGACATCAAGTGACCATACTAACTGAGCTTCCTTTTACAAAATGAGTGCTATTTGGACCACCAAGCCGTGTAGTTAGGTGTGCTTGGCAGCACTCGGCCATCAAGTGGAAACGGTATACAAGATACTGGATTTGAGCAAAAATGGAAGACAAGCAATTGCATGAAGAGTCCTGCAACAGTGACTCTTCCTCTCCTTCAATCAATATTTATGACCTCATAAAGGGTTTCTTATAACTGGTTCACTGAGGAGGAAAAACTCCAGGACTGGTTTACAAATGAAATGGTTCTTCATTATACACGGGCACCAAGGAGAGGCGGGCGGTTGTACCATCACAGTTCCAGTGGAGAGGTGGCTCGGAAGAGCAGTGATGGAGGGAAGTTCTCATAACGAGCGTAATTTAGAGCAACACATTTGATTGTCCATCTTTCCTGGAGTACAACATGATCAGAAGTATGGACATGCAGTAATTCATGGGCACTGGCTAACATTTGGATCGGACTGTCAGGGTCTTGGAGAAGACAAGATTGGAAGACTGACACAAGAAGGTCTGGGGAAGAGGTATGCGAATGGATTTCTCAGAACAGGCACAGGGTATAAAGATACTCATGTTCCATGAAAATACTCACCAGAGGGCATCATTTGGAAAGGAGACGTTCAACAAGCAGGTGGACAAAATGATGCTCTCTTGATGTCTGTCAGCCACTGTCCCCAGCCAGGGTAGTGCTTTCTCAGTGGATCCACGTGCAAAGTGGACACGTGTCTGGAATGGAGGCTTTGCATGGGCTTAACAATATTGTCTGCTCACCAGGCTGACCCTGTAGCCTTGCTACATTGCCACTGCCAAGGGCCTAACTAGCCAACAGCACAGACCAACACTGGGTCATCTATTTGGCACCCTTTCTTGGAGGGACAAGCCAGCTAGCTACCTGCTGGCTGGCTGATTCTATTGGACTACTTCCCTCATGGGAGAGAGGACAGAGATCTTTTTGCTGGAATAGATATATATTTGGGATATACCTGCTTATAATGTTTCTGCTGGTACCATCATTCATGGACTCACAAAACACCTTATTAATTTTCCTTATATTCTGCACAACACTGCTTCTAATTAAGGATCTAATTTCAGAGTACAAGAAACGCAGCAGTGGGTTCACGTTCACAAAATTCACTGTTCTCACCGCATCGTTCATCACCCAGAAGCACTTGGCCTAGTGGAACAGTGGCAAGCCTTACTCAAGTTTCAGTCGGTTTAAAGACAACATCCGGAAAGAACTTGGTTCTATCGTCTTAAAACAGTATATGCTTTGAATCAGAGACCAGTATGTGGTGCTGTCTTTCCCACAGCCAGAATGAATAGAGGAATAAAAAGATGGGAGTGGCTCTTCTCATTAGTATACCTAAAAGCCTGATGGCAGAATTTGTGTCTCCCATCCCTATAACATCAAAGTCCTCTGGAGACCTTGGTTCGTGGCATAGGAACGCTTCCATCAGGGGCCTCAACACTGGTTCTTCTACTGAACTGGAAGATGAAATTGCCAATTGGATATTTAGTGCTCCACATGCTACTGAACCAACAGATAAATAACAGCTTTTTTTTTTTTTTCGGATGGGGAGATAGATCCTGATTACAAAAGGAAAATTGGGTTGCTGATACACTGTGACGGTAGGAAGGATTATGGCTTCACCCCAGGGTATTCCTGAGAGCACCTGTCAGTACTTCAATGTCCAAAGTAAAAATCAGTGCAAAATTTCAGCAACCAACTCAAAGCAGGACCACTGAGCATTCAAGAATGAAAGTTTCGGTCACCTTTTCAATCTGAATTCACCTTCAAATTCTTACAGATCCACAATCCTTTGTCCACAATTCTGTAATCCAAAAAGCACTGAAAATTGAAAGCATTTTCACATGTTACCTGATCTGAAATCATTTAGCAGTAAAATCTAGGTGGAACTAATGAGAGGTGATTTACGGAATTTATTATTCCACTTAGTGTGAATATGTACATGTTCTGCAGAAATATTAACACCTCTGATGGTAGCTCACTACTTCAGAACCCACATGGAGTCTTAGGTAGTTATGCGGTATTCATGCCATACTGCCTTTTCAAAATCCCAAATGTCTTACCTATGAAACATGATCCAGCCTTAAGGATTTCAGATGAGGATTGTGAACCTGTTCCAGCAGTGTTTCAAGAAAAGTGCTGGATATGTTAATTCAAAACATCTCTGCTAAAATAAAAATAAAAAATTTTTTAAAAAAAGCAAAAAAAAATCTCTGCTAAACTTTTTCACTGGTGTTACAGGGTAAATTTTGTGCCCTTCTTAATTCACTTTGAAGTACTAACCCTTAGCACCACAAAATGTTACTGTCTTTGGAGACAGGATCTTCAAAGAGATAATTAAGATAAAATGAGGGCCTTAGGTTAGACCCTACTCCGGTAAGACGGATGCCATTGCAAGAAGATGAGGTTAGGACACAGACACACACAGAGGGAAGACCATACGAAGACAGAGAGAAAAGGTGGTGAACTATAAGCCAGGGAGAGAGGACCCAGAAGAAACCAACCCTGCTGACGTCTTCATCTTGGACCTCTAGCCTCCAGAATTGTGAGAAAATAAATCTCTGTTGTTGAAGCCACCCAGTTTGTGTTATTTTGTTTTGGCACCCCACAAGCCAATGCAATTGGTAACATGTAATTTCTATGCCAACAAAAATCAGTAAAAGGATTTCCATTTTGCAAAAACAAAACATGACCAACTAAACAAAAACCAAACAACCTTTTAAAATGTGATTAGTTTTACAACTATGGCTCATTAATGTTATACTTTATTTTGAGTTCTCTCAGGGAAGGCTTTGTAGCTTATTTCTGCCTCATTTATAGCACTTTGCCCCTCAAATTCCAGTTGATAAAAAGGAGGCTACTCCTCATTTCAGGCATTAGCTCCTGTTGCATAGTAACTATATACAAAACTTTAATACATAGTTTTTATTGCTGTTGTGTTTGCCTTGATGTAAATTCAGGACTAATCAGAATAGCCTGGGGTTTCTGGGATCCAAGGTCAGTTTCTTTCTTTTTTTTTTTTGTTCTTTTTTATTATTATTAATAGACTTTATTTTTTTAGAGCAGTTTCAGGTCACACTAGAATTGAGCAGAAAATACAGAGAGTTTGCACATAGCCCTCCCCACCCACACATATATACTCCCCTACTCTCAATATCCCTCATAAGGGTGGCATATTTGGTATAATCGATGAACTAACATGGACACATTATTATTAACCAAAGTCTACACATTACATTAGGGTTCACTCTTGATGTTGTACATTCTATGGGCTTTGACAAATGCATAATGACATGTAGCCACCAATATAGTATCATACAGAATAACTTCATGGCCCTAAAAATCCCTGTGTTCCATCTGTTCATTCCTCCCTTTCTCCCTCTCCCCAAGCCCCTGGAAACCACGATCTTTCTATTGTTTCTCTAGCTGTGCCTTTTCCAGAATGTCATTTGGTTGGAATCGTGCAGTTTGCAGCCCAATGTCAGGTTCTTGATCTAAGACAGGTGCACTCAATCTTTTTCTCCACCTCCACAGAGAACAGAATCCTGTGTACAGGATTCCACGCACAGATTCAGTAACTTCTCCAGGCTCTGTCATTCTAGGAAGCATATCAGAATGGAAATGAACATTCTTCTATCAGTGGCCTGGGGATTATTTTAATTTTTCAAAGGTATATCATTAGAAAACTTCAATAACTTACTGTTACATTGTTAAACTGCTTGTGTCATTTTACAAGTGACCCTAGTGATTTGTATGTCTCGAGTACTGAGATATGAACTCTGTTAATGTACTGAAGTGACACCTGGATGAGTAAGAACCTGCATTCCTGTAGTGGCAAGGACCTTTCTCTTCCTCACCAGCCACTCTTCCAGACACGTAGGAAACACTTTAGGAAAAAGGTGTGACTTTTGTGGTGATGTGGGAGAAGTATCTCCTGTATTACTATCTCCATGGAAGTCTAGTTCAGGAAGGAGTTTTTCCCAGAGAAGCACCAATAAGTGGCAGGCAGCTGGTACAGTGCAAGGGCATGTGCTTTGGTACTCCGCAGAAAATGGGTTTCTGGTTCTCCTCCAAGGACTACTTTGCAGAGTTGTAAAGTACAGTTTGAAGGGTTGTTGTAAATTTCAGCACTGACTGACAATCCACCGCACGCAATAGGCTTAACAGGCTGTAAATCTGGTATGAAAAAATACTTTGTTGTAGAATAGAGACACAGGTGAATGTATTCATTCTTAGAATATTTATTGACTGTTATGTGTCAAACTATTCTAGGGGCTGGAGATGCAGTGATGAAGACAACAAATAAAAGTTCCTGCCCTTCTTGAGTTTATGACCCAGAGATGGAGCTTACTTTCTGCGGGTGGACGTTATGTTCTAGTGAAACGGGATTTGCAGCACTGGGGGTTTTTAGAGTGCTCAATTTGCTTTTTTTCTTTTTTTGGATTTGATTGGAAAATACTTTGCTGCGATCACTTTTGCAAGTAGACCAGTTTTTGTTAATCTCCTTGATAATCCATACAGATGACGAGTTTAAAAACATCACACTGCCTTAGACTTGGAAGGGACTTGAATTGAGATAATAGTTCTAACTCCTTTATTTTACAGATGGAAAAAAGAGAAGCGACTTACCTAAATTTACCCATTGCATTACTGAGAGACTGAAGACCAGGCCTAAGATTTCCTCTCTCGTATGCTTTGCTCTGTCATATTCCTCACGGTTTCTGGGTTTCTGAAATCGAGGTCTGAGTCATAAGAAGTGATGCTTGCAAAAAAAAATACAGATGGTGCAATGAGTTCAGAAACCGCTGTAAATCTGATTTGGTTAATCAGAAAGCATGGCTTGATGACAGAAACCGACTTATAGTTTTAAAAAACAAACTTGTGGTTACCAAATGGGAGAAGCGGGGAGAGACAAATTAGGTATATGGGACTAACAGATATAAACTACTGTGTATAAAGTAGATATAAGCTATAGACAGATAGATAGATAGCACAGGGAGTTATAGCCATTATTTTGTAATAATTTATAATGGAGTATAAGCTGCAAAAATACTGAGTCATTATGCTGTACGCCTGAAACTAATACAATATTGTAAATGAACTGTAATTTTAAAAAAAACTATGGCTTGGTGAAAGACTGACAGGATACCTGAGCTCTAATCCAGGCCTGTTAAAGAAAAACCATTTAACCCGGTCTCTAAATTCCTTGTCTTTCAAATAGAGGGATAGGCTAATTGATGAGAACATTTGCAGGGCACTTAAAGCGCTTTAAAATATGCATTTGTGTAGAGAGATTTACAAAGTGCCAGCACATAGCGCTAAAAAGTGTTATTTTATTATTAATCGTGCACTCTCGTAAATATAGATGCCCATTTTGCAGATGAAGCAGTTGAGAATTACAGAAACTAAGGACAACTTCCATGGTCGATCAGTTACGGAACCGAGAAAGCAGGCTGAGAACCCAGTACTTCGAATTGTTCTATTTGTTTTCTAGTACCTTAAGACCCTTTTAGGTATATGACTATTGTTTTACAGGAATTGAAACAGCACAGAGACAAAGGGGAAGTATTTTCATACATAAGTGAGCCATGTGTATGTATCAAGGAAGGGTTTGGGAATGAATTTCATTTACAGTTTGGCAGGAGGCAGCTCTTCTAATGGGCAGTGGATTGAGGAAGTAGGGAGAAAGTGTGCTATTCCTTGAACGCCGGGCCAAGAAGTCTGAGAGTCTTAGCAAAGTTCTTGATTAGTGTGGTGACATAATGTTACCAGCATTTTATTATCAACCTGGTTGTGAACCACCGAACAGGTTCGGGAGGTGGGGCTGGAGCTTCAGAGACCAGTTAGATGGCTGTCGCTAGAGTCTAGTACAATATGAGAGCATCCAGTATGTTGAGGTAACGAGATCTGGGAGAAAAGTGTTCTTTTCCTAACAGCGTTCAGGGCACATGCAAACTCGTTATTACGGGGGTGGGGCGGGGGAGGGAAATAGGTCTTATGAGTGTCTTTTTGTTTTTAAAGCAACTACTGTAGAGGCCTGGGAGGCGAGAAGACCGCATTTGGAATGAAACGAGGGTTAGATTCCTGGCTTTGTCATTTTCTAATTATGCAATATAAAGGAAGTCACCTAACCTCTCCGGAGCCTCGGTTTCGTTTCCTCCAAAATAAGGGCGACAATTCCGACGTGGCAGAGCATCCGTGTGCGCCAAACCAGACCAGTGGCGTAAGGCACCGGGCAATGGCGCTCACTGGTGGCTCCCGCCTTCGCCCCGGTGTCCTTCGGGCTGGGGCTGAGGAGCCAGGGACCGCCCAGGCCCGGAAAGCAGCTCTACCTGGCGACCGCGGCCGCG